ACGTTTTAATTTCCTCATTAGGTAACTGGTACCTGTCGCCTTCTGCCGTGTTTTGTAGGTACTGTGGACAAAACTGAAACATTTACTTTATTTATTCATTCATTATTTATCACATTTCCTTTTTACTGGCAAAGGATTTATCCACCCCAAGCAAATGTCCAAAGTTTTATGCAAAGTGTGGTGGTTCTGTTTCATCACGTCTTTTCAATGTGCCAAAATGCACATAAAAATATGTGGATGGAAGCCCAGCTACTTACTTACTTGGTAGGCTGAAGGTTCTCCACAAAAGGGTGCTATTAGCATTAAAATAGCTGTTGGTGCTTTGCTTCAATTACACTATGTGTCCTTGTTTCTAGAACTACATTCATAATTTGAAGAAGTTAAGTAATGTTTGTGGTGATTACTTACTAACACATAATTGTTTAAAAAGGCCTAGTATTCATTCTAAAAGCCTAATGGGAGTAGTTTACGAATGTGCATCTGCCCATTCATTAGCATTTCTTGACTTTGTAATTTTGTAGTATTCTGACAGGCAGATTCAGGACTTGTGACAATAAAAAAATGCTTTGTCTTGAGAAATCATATATTATTCCCTTTCTCCTGCTTGTAAGAGTCTACTAAGGCCACTGCTCTCCTCTTAGCTAATTTCCAGCACTCCTTCCAGCACCATAAGGAACATTAGGGTATGATACGTCTTGGCAGGTTCTGTTTTCAGTGACAGTTCCTGACAGAGCAGCAGTTTCCTAGATGCAGGACTCAGCAGATATTTGCTCCCACTGAGGACCAACTCAGCTCCCCCGAGAGAGAGAGGGAGAGAAGTCCTCATGGCATCCAGAAGAACTGTGGTCTCATTGTGGGACATAAAATTTTGACATGATCTGAGGATGAGATTAAATGAGAAAGCAGCGCTGCCTGCCACGAAGTCAAACAGCACGGGCCTCAATTAGCAGAGGCAGAGACAGGAGAAGAGGTGAAATACGTCAAAATGATGACAATGAGTTTAAGGCAGTGGTAGGAGAAGAGGACAGTAATGGAAAATGGAAGATATGGAGCTGCTACAACAGAGTGGTGAAGAGAGAGGGAGAGAGAGAGAGAGAGAGAGTAGTGCTAGAGAAGTCAATGGTCTGAGATTGGTCATTAATGTAGCTAGAAACTTCTGTAAATGAACTTGCTCTTTTCCTAATGGAAAAAAGGAAAGAGTCACAGGCTAAACTGAAGACAGAGGAGAAGGTAAAGAGAAAGGCAGAAAGCACAGGAGCCTTTTAAAGGCCTTTTTTGAGCAGCAGAAAAGGGGGCATGAATGGAGAGATCAAGTTGAATCATCTATTGAAAGCAATGAGCAGTAAGTACCAATCTTTATTGTGCAGCGACAAAAACAAACAAATGGGCAGTGTGTCTTCAGGTAACACAGGTCTCCTTTGGTCCTCACAAAACAGGAAAACTGACCTTGAGTGGGCTTCTTTCCATTCTGGAAAGTAAAAGGAGCACAGAGAGTTTCACCACCTCATTAGGTCCTGGAACTTCATGAGAGCTTAATGTACTTTGCATGTCTTTTGAAGGCCTTTTTTTGAGCAGCAGAATAAGGAGCATGAATTGAGAGATCAAGCTGAGTCATCTCTTGAAAGCAATGACCTTTAAGTGCCCAATGACTGGTCAGTCAAAAGACTAGTGTGTGTGATTGTGTGTGTTGTGACTCTGCATTATCTCCTTTCTGACAGTTAGAAGTCACTGAAAAAGGCATTCTCCCTAACAGGGTAAACCCCTTTTTCATACAAACCTCATTAATAAATAAAGTAATAAAAACAGGAAGCAGTGATTGGTAAATTCTGTTTGACTTGTACTAAAATTAAAACAGTACAAAGCATGATATTTGATGTTTTGCTTTGCTCATTCCGATTTTGCTGCCTGCAACACATTCCAAAAAGTTGGGACAAGAGCAAGTTTACCACTGAGTTACATCACCTTTCCTTTTACATCATGAAATAAACATTTGGGAACAGAAGACACCAATTGATCCAGTTTTGAAAGTGGGATTTTTTTATATTCTTCCATTCTGTAAGTCTTCAGCTGTGCAGCCATATGGGGCCTTTGTTGTTGTGTTTTGCACTTTGCAATGCGCCACACGTTTTCAAAGGGAGACAAATATGGACTGTAGGCAGCCAAGTCTAGCACCTGCACTCTGATCACAAAGCCAGAAGGCAGCATATGTTACTCCATAATGTGTACCTATACATCTTTCAGCATAATGGTGCTTTCACAGAAGTGCATGTCACACATGACATTGACATTAATACACCATGTACTATGACAGACCTTGGCTTTTGAACTTGACACTGGTAACAATCTGGATTGTCAGACCACAATACATGTTTCCACTGTGCATCTGTCCATCAGAAAAGCTCAAGCCCAGAGAAGTCAGCAGCGTTTCTGGATGTTGTTGACAAGTGACTTCAATTGTGCAAAATACAGTATTTCTGCGTTTGTAGATGCAGCAACAAGCAGTGTTTATCGATTATGATTCGTTAAAGTATTCCTGAGCTCATGTGGTGATATCCATCAGAGAAGCATGCTGGTTTTTAATGCAGCACTGTCTGAGGGGTTGAAAGTCATGGGCATTTAGTTATGATTTACAAAGGTTTCTCCAGATTCCCTGAAACTGTTGCTGATGTTATGCACAGTAGAAGATGACCTAAATACCTAAAATCCTTGCAATCACTTTTTGAGAAACATTAATAATGAACGAACTAGGCCTTTTATATCCAAGCATGATTTTATCACCGGTTTAAGATGTTTTATGAACACTTCACACTCTTAGAGTTAAATTGCACTGGCCCAACTTTTTTAGAATATGTTAGAATTATCAATTTAAAGATGAACACATATTTACAAAAAAGCTGACAAAGTAGAACATTAAACATTTTGTCTTTGTGTGTTGGTTTTAATACAGGTCAAGGTTGAGTTATAACTCATTGCTTTCTGTTTTTATTTGCATTCCACATACTCCCCACCCCCACCTCCCAGTTCCATTCGCCAAATGTGAAAAGAACCCATATGCTATGGGCTTATGCTTGAAATTTCACAAATTTCATTTTCACAAACCCCAAAGAAACCACATCAAACCCACTAAGGAGTGCAGCCTTTTATACTTGCCACATGCCACACAGTTTGTCGCAAGCATCACACTATGTGAAGCATGCACAAAATAAGGCTGCAATGGATTTCATTTTCAGACACACAGTTTTGCAGAAACATTTCACTTTGCAGGCAGTGTCATGCTCCTACCAAGTATTTGGAAAGTGATTAAAATGATGAAAAGATAAAAAAGAAGCTTGTTTTATGTTGTCCATTATGTGTTTGTGCACCCAGTTTTAGCGTTTAGGGTTTAACCACCATTTTAATACTACATCCCTCCTCTCTAAGCCCTTACAGGAGGAAAAGAGGTACTTTAGTGTCTTATTTATATGTGTGTGTATATGAGAGAAACGCCCATATGAATTTCATTGCTGTAATATCAAAACCTTTTAAGTCATTTATTATTTTTTTTCAGCAGACTTTTACATATTGTGAGCATTTTTGATGGATAAGCCAACTGAAATGGTCCAAAATTACTTGGAATAGATTCTTGTTACATACACAGGCATTAAATTGAAGAATGTTTTTTGCTTCTTCTACAAAATGACCATTTCAGTGATACAAAGTCTCATTAGCATAGTGACAATACGCAATTGAATTTCTGGACTTTAACTTACAATTTATTACAGCAACCAAAACCAAATGTCTCACTTGCATGCAGCATCTTCCCTCCTCCCTCAATTTAATTGAACCATGATGCAAACAATTAAAAAAAGCGCTTCCATTAAACCATTAAGGGCCCACAGCTTCAAGGAGAAATATTATGCAGGTCTGTACGTCAGCTCAGCTGAGGCTTAGCCCTTCTGTATGATAGGTGTTGTGGGTGTACAGTGGGGACCATTACGTAATGCCAAGCAATCAAGACTCACATTATTGAGCTATGAAGATTCAGACTGCTTCCTTTCCCCTGCCTCAGTACTGCTCTGTTGGGTCTTATTGGCCCCACTGCAGTGAGTCCAATAAGCCATAACTGTAATAAAAGATTGCACTGGCTTAAGGCCTATGTTTCAGATTCTAACCTCATAACAATTTGAATATTTATTCCTAATAAGGAATTCAGTGCATCATGAAATCTCAAATTCCACCCTAGGTCAACTATTTTGGTACAAGTCAGATTTTTTTTCTTTTTAAATACGTTAATGATAAACAAAACAAGTACCCGAACAGTGATTTCAGTATTCAAAGACTGGTATTTCAACCAGTTAACAGTGTACCCATACACATCCCTGCACAGTACACTAGACTTTTTGGGGCAGGGAGACTTTTATATTTGAAAATAGACTAAGAATTTAATACGGGCCAAAACTTGAGCACATATTTATTGAATATTATTATAATTGAATTGATGCAGTTAGGTCAACAACTCCAGACTGATTCAACACAATACATGAATGCTTTTGTACACCCAGTGGTTAACAGTAACAAACTGCCTGTACTTCATTACTGTACTTAAGTACTTTCTGGGTATCTGTATTTTATTAAAGTATTTACATTTTGCTTTCATTTCACTACATTTTCAAGTAAAACTTTTTTACCGTTTTTCCTCTACTTTCTGCACAAATGTGTTGCAATTTGAAATGATATTAATATTTGAAAACAATAATTATTATGCACTTTCTGCATATAATTTATAATTGAAGCAAACCAATCATGGCACACCTTTCAATAAACCCCATCCCTACAACTGTCTGATCATAACTTAGCAGCTGTAACTTGGGTCTGACAAGCTTTAATGCAGTAATGTTTTGTGTAGTATTTTGTAAATCATATATTCATATATCTCTTTCAGTCAGGCTGTGGAACTTGTCCTTATAGAAGCTGTTTTGACAGGACTGTTCACTGACCGTGCTGATATATTTTTCCACCAGGTTCCCTCAGATGACTGGGGTGGAGGGGGGTCGTCAGACAGTGGAGGGGAAATCCCATGCAGACGAATGCGCAGCGGCAGCTACATTAAGGCCATGGGGGACGATGACAGCGCAGACTCGGATACCAGCCCTAAGACCTCCCCTAAACGTGCCCTCATTGCTCAGAGAGAAGCCTTCCGTCGCTCCATCAGCATGGACCAGCGCTCCTCTACCACGAAGTGTGTAACTCTCAATGATTCTTAATAAATGAGGAGAATTACAAGTGGTAGTTTCCTAGAAAAAAATAAAAGTTTGGTGCCTGAAGGTCTGATTTTTAGTTTTGCACTAGTATTATGAGGCTAATGTAGCTACAAATAATGGAGGCTTATAAGCACCAATTAGCACTGAGCAAACTGTATGTCTAAATCATCACACACTTGCTTAAAACCACACTGAGTACTTAACTCATCTCAAACAAGACTCTTATATTTTCTGACACTGCACAGCATCTATCTATATGTAACAGGTCTGATCCACGTGTGGTGGTGGCAGTCGTCAAGGGTAGAACACAGGAGCATGAGCCAAACCACGAGACCAAGAAAGCTTTTGTTTCATCACTTTATTCGTCATAAAGGCTGAGTCACAGAATTTAGCTGAGCTTTGATCCATGAATTTGCGACCTCTATCAATAGTATTACTGCTTTGGTTGTGTTAACCTGTGAAGGCCCCTCAATTGCCAATGAATTCACAGCATTGAACCAGGGAAACTCCAAAATGGAGGAAGTGCTAATTTAACCAAGTTCTAGCTGAATCTTTTACTATTTCTTCCCCACTATAAATAAACACATGAAAGACATCACTGCTACCAACCATGCCAGTTATCAGCATATTTTGGTACAATCTCCTATGCAGCACTTCACTTCCATGAATATACTCCATAACCATGAGTATAATTATCTGATATAATGTTGTTCACTTTTGTGTCATTGCTTACAGTTAGCAAGATAGCTAGATTACTAAGTGCACCCAACATGGGGCCTCAATCTCGTTTTGCAAGTCGACACAAACTGCAAATGTCTAGAGTGACTGCAGCTTAAAATTTATTACTTTAATTATTTTTTTATGGTGATTTGTTTTTTTCTTCTTTTTTTCCCTTGTTTGTGTATAACATTAAAAATTACAGTTAAGGCTTAGGACAGACTAATACACACAATAACACTATATAAAAGACTACAGCTCAACTTTCAGTTTTAAGTTCTTCATACATACAATCTGCACCACACTGTACTTGAGCCACTTCATTCCAGACCGTCCGTCACGTTGCTCCCATCCTCTGCAGCGCACCCCACCATCATCAGGTCTGTGTCACCTACGGCTTTTTTTAAAGACAAACCCTGCCCACAAACTACCAATCACTTATTTACACCAGTTGTGCAAAAATAATCAGTGACCACACAAATCATTACATGCTGCAAATAAAATGAACATAATCTTATAGTGAAAAGCATTAACAGCAGCAGAAGCCAGAATTTTGTTTGTAAATGTGTCTATTTTATAGATAACAGTATGTTATACAGTGTCACAGTGTGGGTTATGTGATGCTTATTGGGAGAATATAGGCTTCCATTACTTGCGGGCTTTATTAGCCTCTTAACTCCAGTGCCTAAAAAAGATGTGAGGTAAGAGGTAAAGGGGAAATTTGTGTACATTTGATCTCTTGCTGCATTCTTGCTCTTGATTTGTTGGTCTTACATTCCTCTGGTGTAGCTTGAGGGACGTACGTAGTCTATGGTTTTTACTTGTTTATCACTATCCTCCTCAGGTACTCATGTAAACAGTGTACAGATTCCTACACAAACAGCCGTACCACACCGAAAGGACACACCCGCTCTCGCAGCTACACACGCTCTCTGACCAGCTCACAGGTAAGACACTCTCTCGCCAGTAATGCTGTTCTAGTCAGTAACGTTCCTCCTCATCTCAAGAACAATACAAGTCTCATTACTGCAGTTTCATTATCCTTGTCTGCTGGAGCTTAACATAATGTGCCACTAGACGAGTTTCTCTAATACAAAGGCCAAGCTCTGATTCTCTGATGTCATTTCTCTTCTGCTTCCAGTGTATAACTTCACGGTCATTCATTATTTGTGAAAAGCATGACAAATGATCTCTGCTTCCACTGTATTCTGTCCTCTGGCTAGCTGATCAAAGCCAGTAGAGTGTACCTTTGTTTTTTACTTTAACACAAAAATTCATGTTCTGTTATATTCCGTTTCATCATCGGCCAAGTAAGTCATACCCTGACTTTTAACTGTGTTATAACATACACTACAAGCCAAAGGTTTGGAATCAACATATCTTTTGTAAAAAGAAACATGAAAATCTTATTAGAGAGATGATGAGCAGTAAGATTCATTAACATAGAACAAAGGCATTTGACTAAATGTCTGCAGCAGAGTGGTGGTCTTGCAGAGTTTCACTGCAGCCCTATTTATAGTCACCTGATTCTCCCAGTCACATGTTTCTCTGAAGGACAGATTAACTGAATCTGACATGTTAAATGAAGAGTCTGAAGGCTGTGTGATGGCTGTGAAGGCTCTTCCCAAATTAAGAAAGTAAGAGTAGCTACTGGAAAACAATGGAATATTTTGGAAAAATTTCTTTGGTCAAACTAGATGTCAGTAAACTGTTGTGTTTGTTGTTGATGAATTGATTTAATTGTTAATTACTTTTGAAACTTTCTTTCACTGCAACTTGACATGTTGGCGGTAACTTTTTTCAGTGCAAAAGAATGCAATATAACTTTGCTGACAGCAAAAACCTCATTTAGATATATAGATATATAGATGTATAACACAAAACAACACATGCACATCGCTGCTGTCAGAACAAAACCTTGTACCTCCATTATGGTCATTTTTCGATGTAATTTGATAATGCCTGTTGCGCTTTACTTTGTGTGTAAATTTCATGATAATTGAACCAAGAGAAGCAGCCCAAAATGACTTGGAAAAAAATCTGGTTCCATCGACTTACATTAAAAGTAAAGTGTGTTTTTTGCTTCTCCTGTATCATTTTGGAGAGGTTTTGTTCCAACAGCAGCAATATAGTAATTTTATTTCAATTGTTTAAGCAAGATCATTCTTTTTTCATATATGCAAGTAACCTGCACATCTCTGCCACAAATGAAATTTTCCAGCATGTAGTGTTTGTGAACAGTTTGAAGGAAAGCAGTGTTTATTGTAACAGATGCTAAAAAGTCTAGTAAATCAATGCAAACACAAACAATTCAATACATTTCTATGTTGTTTGAATCAGACAAGCTTTCCAACTTAAATACATAAAAATATGTGCATCAAAATAAATGCAGTTATTAAAGAGGCTGTGTGAAATATTGGCATCTGTCATACATTTTTGATTAATCTGTGCATAAAAACATCTAAAAGATGAACTGTTTTTAATGTATATAGGGGGATATGGACTTCTCTCATTGTTTCCTGTGGGAAGCTCTGTTGTGAAACTGTGTTAATACTAACCCCACTGTGTCGAGGCTGTACTTCAGCCTGGCTAGTGAATTATGTGACTTAAACACAAAACTTCATGTATGAAGCCCTCGTTATATTTTATCCCATGTTAGGTTGTGACCCACTTCCCCTGCATTATACAATTTACTATTTAGGAGGATTTAAGGTGTATAATGTCCATCTTTACAAGAACTAGATAATCTTTAAAGCTAATGATAATAGTTAAATGACTTAATCGCTCTAGGAAAAATTCCTGAAATGCATTGTTTTAGGACCTGTAGCACCACCCAGAAGGAAATAGCCAAAATGCTGATGAGATTAAAAACACTGCTTTCTTCAACAGTTTAGGGTTGTAGTGTACCTATATGCACCTGCTGTAAGCTGATTCTTGTCCCAGTGTAACCTTTACTACGCTGTGTGTGCGGTCTGGCAGCTGGGGGATACACTGAACCGTCAGTTCGAGTCGGTGTGTGAGACCATGTTTGGAGAGATGGAGTCTCAGGCTGTGGAGGCTCTGGACCTGCCGGGCTGTTTCCGCACACGCAGCCACAGCTACGTACGGGCCATCCAGGCGGGCTGTTCCCAAGACGACGACTGCCTGTCTGTGTTCTCCATGTCGGGCCCTCAGGGGAGCGTAAAGGGCGGAGCAGGTAAGGGATTGTCTGTGCAGGTGTGTGTGATATCTCTGCTCTCTGCTGTCTTTCTCCACCTGGCAGTATCTCTACAGTAACAGGGATTACTGGAGTATCTTAATGAGTTTCTGGATCTGCCACCCAAACACTGCCGAGAAAACATGTCTCAGCTGAAGGATTTAGATATCAAAATAAATTCATAAATTCAATTTCTCTGTCTCTCTCTCTCTCTCTCTCTCTCTCTGTTTCTCTCTTTCTGAACCTTTCTTCACTCTTTTCCTCCCTCTTTCCCTTTCTCTTTTTCCTTTTCTCTTTTTTCTTCTCTCTCCCCTTTTCCTTTGCTTTCTCTCCTTCTCTTCCTCCTTCTCTGCCGTTCTCTCTCTCTCTCGCTCTCTCTTTGTTTCTCCTGCTTGTATGTGAGCAGGCTGTTGTGTGTAGATGGCCTCGTGTGCTCTTCTATTCTAGCTTAAAGCAGAAAATCTCACTACAGATTTATTAAAGCCCCTGTAAAGTGTCAAATGCATCCATCTCTACACCCCCCTAGAAACACACATATACACACACCACACACACTAGAGGACGTGTATAAAGCTGCTATCTGAAAATAAGATTTCAGACTTGATGGAAAACACACACTGGGCCCTGTGTTTGTGTCAGAATTCTCTTGAATTGAAGTTCTGTGTGAGTAAAACATGTTCTTCTGTTGGTTTGCTGACATTCATGTCTGTATCTGTGTGTGTGTATCTGATGTGACTGGTTCACACAAACAGGCCCTCAACCGGCAGGGTGATGTAGTAAAGCAGGGGTTCCCAATTCCAGTCCTGGTGAACCCACACCAGGCACACTTATGTGCGTTATCTCAGCTAGTACATCTGATCCAACTCATCAACTAATTAACAAACTCCTCATGGTCTGGACCAGGCGTGTGGAGTAGTGCAGAGTATGGGGTGAAGAGGACTGAGCTTGTAGTAAAGCACTTCTTCCAGAAGGCTAGGAGCTTTTAGAGTTCTTTTTAATTGCAGTTCACTTCCCAGACACGAAGAATTTATCATCTTAAAGATAGACTGCAGTAACTTTCACCATCTCCACTTTTTACTAGTTTCCCTGATCGAAATGTTTAGCACAACAGCACCTTCTTAGAGACACTCAGATTTATAGTGTTTCATATAAACAGACAGACAGACAGGAACTTTATTAATCAGTTACAGCAAAGTTACAGCTTCAATAACAACAGTACAAATTGCATACGTATATTAGAGGAGCTATAAAATATAGAATTTACAAGATATTTACAAAGGACATAAAACAAATGTATGAGTTTAGAGCTCTGCACTTGAATGCCAAAGAATACTTACATAAGATATAGCAGTCATTAAAGGAGTACTCCAGCAACTTTCAGTGTAATCTCCTCCTGGATATAAGAAATCAATCAGCATTGACTTATACTATATGAATCAGCATTGGCTCCTGTTATGTGTATTGGTTTGTTTTGATAAGAGGTTATCTGTTCTTTTCTAAGAGCAGGGAAATTATTGTCCATAGTAATCGGCTATGTGGTCCAGATGTGCCAGATTGAGATCAGGTTGATAATCATGAAGATCAGGTGTATTCCTTTAATGAGAAGTTTTCACAATGTGCAGCAGCATATTATGCACATGCACACTCACTGGCCACTTATTAGGCACACTTACCTTGTTTATATATTCATTGTCCAGGTGCACTTTGTAGTTCTACAGTTGCAGATTGTTGTCCATTTGTCTTTACTGTGTTCATCAGTGGTCAAGACCCCCACAGGACCACCACTGATCAAGTATTATTTGGGTGGTGGATCATTCTTAGCACTGCAGTGACACTGACGTGGTGGTGAGTTAGTGTATGTTGCGCTGGTACGAGTGGATCAGAGACCGCAGTGCTGCTGGAGTTTTTAAACACTGTGTCCACTTGAAGTCCATTCTATTAGTCACACCTGCCTGTGTTGGTCAACCTTACAGATGTGAAGTTCGAGGCAGTAGATTATCTGTTGCTATACTGTTTGTGTTTGTCATCTTCTAGTCCTTCATCAGTGGTCAGTTTCTGACCACAGGACACTGTTAGCTATATATTTTTGGTTGGTAGACTATTCTCAGTCCTTCCTTGGCCATAAGTTGACTCACCTAATAGAACCTAACAGCTTTGGACATAGCACTTTTTGGTCTCAGGAATGATATCCAAAATTCCTAATATCTATGATATTCTTTCAGTGTTTCCATATAGGAAAGGCCCGCCTCCCCTTCCACCACGCATGTCCAAGCCTATGATCTCCATAACGGCCCAAAGCAGCACCGAGTCCACCCAGGACGCTTACTTCCAGAGCACAGGCCAGCCCGCACTGGGGCGGCCCAAGCTGCACAGCAACTCTGTGGATCTTACCGAGATCAGCGGCCGCACCTCCAGAGGGGGCTACTATCCAGCCGGGGGGTCAGCACGGCTCAGGCAGAACAGTAACTCCGCAGAGAGCGTGGACAGCCGGGCGCTGAGGGATGCTGGCTACCCCGCTGGGTCGGGGCCCATGAGGCCCAAACACAGCACCTCTGCAGACAGCCTGCTGGAAGGACCCCGCGGGGGGAGGGAGCGGGCTGGAGGAAGCCTGGGCAAGTCTGCCTCACTGCCCCAAAACAGCATGACCCTGAGCAAAACAGGACACAGCACAGAGGAGCACAGGCAGGACGGCAAGGGGCGCAAGTGGAGACCCTCCATAGCAGTTCAGGTGAGGAAGTGATTTAATTAAAGGATGATTTGATTCAATTACAGTTTATAGGAAATGATTCAGTACATCATGAAACCTGAAAAATGTTATCAGGATTCAATTCAGTTATATTTTTTTCACAATCTCAGTGTAATTTGATTGTTAAAATGTAAACAAAGTCATTTAGTGTGGTTTGTTGTGAAGCAGCGGCAGAGAAATTCACTGGCCCAGATTTCTTTACAGTGGTAGTGATGGGAACCAGGGGTCATAATGTCTTATAAATATAGCCATTTTATTTACTATCCAAAACAGACAGCGAGCCTACATGTGTCTTCTGAAATTTATATGTAATGGTGATAATGATAAAATAGTGGTAAATCTGAAAAAAATACATTTAATTTTCTTTACAGATTTTGCATTACAACACTGTACATTAACCTTTTTAAGCAAATCAAAAGAGAACTTGACTGAGCTGTGGCCAAACATAATGTTGACAATGTTGATAATGTTGAGCCTTTTTCTTTATTTTTCACGTTCATAGTCAAGCTGCACACTAAAAACAGTCTTTGGAAAGCTCAGTATGAGCTTTAAATATTCACACAGATTAAGCTGGAAATAATAATGGGTGAAAAAAATAATGTATTGTAAAATCATACTAACATTCCACAGAAGCTAATTACACTGAATTTTTAAGAAACTATTAGGCTTGCTGTCACCTGTGCTTTATCAGGACTCTGAGCGATTCTTCAATGCACAGCAACACAGCTGTGTTTGACTCATTGACAGGTTAGGAGTTATCTTTGTATAATTATATATTTAGTCTTAAAGTTTGTATGGAAATAAGAAAGCAGTTTATATTTAAGCAGCTTACCAGAAATTATGTAAGTGCATAGATGTAACTGTAGTGAGTGACTAAAGATCAGCATTTTAGGGACTCAGTTAGTAGCTTAGTATGTTTTTTTTTAAATTCCCTCCAACAAGTAGTTTTCAGTAGCCAGTGTAGGACCTTCTACACGTCTATTGGAAAGCCTCACAGGTAAGCCATTAACACACCAACAATTTCTCATGAATGTCTGTATTTAACTGTCATTTTTCTCAAAGGTACATTCTGAATGAACAAACAAACTGAACAATTATTACCTACACAACAAATTAGACGGTCAAACTAAAGTTAGTTTAAAAGTTTGTAAACTTAGTTTGCTAAGTGATGGTTTAATCTGAATAATGAATAAAGCTGTCAGCAATGTCAGCAGATTAGTTAAGAAAAGCTAACCTTTCTAGATAACTGATCTTAACATTTTCTGCTTTGGTTGTTTATTATCAGGCATCATATCGAAATAAGTGTTAGCAAATACAGTAACCTTACATTAAAGCTGCTTGTTAATATTCTTGACATTGAGCTGTGAGTTTGGTCTTCCGCATGTTTAATCCAAAACCTTTTCAGCTCCAAAAATGAAATAAAAACAGCATCATCCTCTAGATCCCATGTGTCAAACACAATTTTTTTTTTTAAATTTTCTATTAATATTAGCCCATTCACCATGAACTGCACTACAATTCCCAGCATGCACTGCAACATAACACATGCTCCCACCAGCTCCCCAACAAGGATCTATGGGACTGCACCACAAAAAAAAAAGCCTAGTTCAAGCAAATGGGCAGTTTTAAAAAACCTTCTGTACACTAGGGACATTTAAAGAGGTATAACAATTATCTAATGTAGTCTATTATTATGTATGAAACAAATTATTTTTGAAACGCTCAAGTATTCACTGCCTATTTTTTGCCGTTGTAGTTTTGGCATATTTTGAACAAACACTTCAGGTGTGTTCTGAGAAGTTGTGCTGGAGTTTCCATTCACTTACTGGAAGAAATAGCTCTTAGAGATGGATGCTAAGCAGTGATTAGTTGAGCATAGTGTCAATAATTATTTTGCAAATGGTCAATTACGGTCCACAACATGGATTCTAAATTCATCTGGTGGGCCAGATAAGAAACGTAATTGGGCCGGTTACAGGCTGCAGCCTGTATGTTTGACACCCCTGCCTTAGGGTCTTAATGTACGTTCACATATACAGGCGACCGGATGACAGACAGCCAGTCGTTTCCTATGGAAGTAAAAGATTTGTAGCTGTGATTTAACGACAAGCAACATGACTGTAGGGCAACAACTGACCAGTCGAGTTAAAATTTTCTCAACTTTATGCAAATAAACCATAAGGTCTGCAACCTCTGCTCTCTAAACTTATTGTTTTTACTGCCATTATGTTCCAGTTCCCATTAGTACTGTGCAAAAAATGGAAGACAAACTCAAGAACGTATAACTGTGGTTCAACAAAATGGAAGTGCATATTTTTTAGATGTTTTTTTTTTTTTCAGAAGCTGGACAGTATACATGTCCATGCATGACAACAAGAACAGCCTCGAACACACCCACAAGTGACAAACTTGAGGCAACATTAGTGATTTATTGCTGCTAGCGTGAACATACACTTTAAAACTCTTAGAAACACACAGACATTGTTCTACAAGTAGGTGTGTCCAAACACTTAATCAGACTCTTCTATTGCTCTTACAACACTATATGTGTGTGTATACGCAGGTGGACAGCTCTGAGACTTTGTCCGACTCAGATATGGAGGGAAAGGCACTGAGAGAGGTGCACTCCATCGGAGTCCAGGTGGAGGACGACAAGAGGTATTGGCTTTTGTCTTGCTTTCTTTTTCTGTTTTTCTCCCTGAATTTCTTTCTCACCCCCTCAGCAAGTGTGTAATCAGAGGTGATTGGATCGACAGTTTATGGGGCTGGGTGGAGTGTGAATCACAGTGTGGGCTGAGCTGTAGGTGCGGGGGAAAACACACACACACACACACACACACACACACACACACACTCTCACACAGACACACGCTCCTAAACAGACACATACACTCAGAGGGTGTACGTGTGAGGTGCGTAGAGTGTGGTGAGAGAATATAATCAGGCCTTACGCAATATGCCAAAAAGTGTGAAAAGATGTCAGAGTCATCCAGGCAGGGCTTATGAGCTCATTAGCATGTGCGTCATGTGACAGGATCATTACCCTCGTCAGCCACACAGATATGAGGTCACTGCTGGTCACAGGTGCTCCAGTATTCTTCAAGAACAGGGGATGATGTCTAACTAGACTTGTCACAACGCTATAATGTGGAAAAAAAGAAATGAAAAGAAAATTAAAAAAGAAGTCATATCTAATCCGACTGCAAACTGTGTGATATCAGTGGTATTAATGTGTCTTGTCAATGATATCAGTGGTATTAAGGCGTCTTGCTCGTCAATGATAAACACTTGGCCAAATTCTGTGCAGTATTATACATGTTAACATGTCCTGCTCATCCTGCATCCATCAGCTCCACTTGTAGTTAGTGCTAGTTATGTATGCAGTTATTCTATTGGTAGGTTCTTATATGTCCACCACAGAAATCCAGGGAAGAGTGGAGAAAAGGGGTATGAAGCCAGACAGTGTTACTGGCAGCACCCCACATGAGCCATCAGCTCTTTCAGCGTCCACATATAAGATATGACATTTCTTTGGATATAAATCAATATAAATTTAAATTTTACATGTAAAAATAACCACAATCACTGTACAATACAGCGTGTGCTGCATCCACTACAATTTGTATCTACATGCTGATCAGCAGAGCTTCTGGCCAATGATGACTAGGCTCTGTCATCATCAGGCTCACACTGCCAGGTGAAGGGGAACTGGCACCTGGCTCTGTAAACTTCAGCCTAAACACTAACCTAAAAAAAATAAATGTTAACCTACATAAAGGAAAGAGACACTAATGTTTGACTACTTTTACTTGGTTTACATAAGTTTGCAGTTAATTTCAGTTCACCTGAGTTTTGGTTTGTGAACCCGGTCATTATTGCTGCTTTTTGGTTGGATATGATTGAATAAATCATAGCAATAGCTTGGAATAGTAATAAGTAAACAAGACATAAATTGTATTCAGAGTGTGCCCCAGGACTACTTTAAACACTTAGAATTCAAGGGCCAATGGAAAACCATTTTTTCTCAATGTTTTGTAGTGTGTAGCACTGTCGCCTCACAGGAAGGAGGGCCTGGGTTCGATTCCCCGGCCAGGTGACCAGGGATCTTTCTTTATGGAGTTTGCATGTTCTCCCTGTGTCTGTGTGGGTTTCCTCCCATAGCCCAAAGACATGCCGATTAGACATGCTGAACTGCCCCTAGGTGTGAGTGTGTGTGTGAATGTATGGCTATGTTCACATTACCAGGTTGAAGCGGCATAAATCCGATTTTTTGCCCTAATGTGTCTGATGTTTTCAGAGCTGTGTGGACACGCAAATCTCATGTTTTCAAATCCGACCTGAGCCACTTTCATATGTGGTCGTATTTCCGATACGTATCCGATTCGTGGCCATGCGACCTAAATGTGAACACTCAGATCGGAATTCATGGTTTTTTCCACTGCGCGTGCGCCATCATTCAGCGTTACCAGCGCCGAACAAAAGTTAAAGCCTGTAAACGGTGGAAAAACAACACCTTTTCTCCTTCGTCTCGCTCTAATAATGAACAGCTGAGCGCTGATCAGAGTTAATTATCTTCACAGGCTCGTTCTGCACGTAAGTTTTTTTGCTGATGATGCACGTGACGCACGAGATTCATTCACGTGACGTTACTGCGTAGGCTGTGCGCATGCGAGTCATTTCAGGGCGCCGGCTCGTTCACATTAATGACAGATTTGAGCCACTTACCTAAACGAGTGTGAACCATCCTGTCAGAGAGATCGGATTTGAGCAATAAGGCTTGTAATGTGAACGTAGCTCATATGTCTGTCTGTCTGCCCTGCGACTGACTGGCCTGTCCAGGGTGTTTCCTGCCTTCCGCCCAGTGACTGCTGGGATAGCCTCCAGCACCCCCCACGACCCAGAAGGATCAGTTAGATAATGTGTGTGTGTGTGTGTGTGTGTGTGTACACTCCTCAGTCCAAATAGTTCAGAATTCATTACTTTCATGATGTTGCGAAAAGCAAAACTTTTACATATATGCACCTATTCAGCCTATACTAGTTTAGCCCCGCCCATTCACACTGACATTATAAGGAGTGTTTCAGCCTCCGCTGCTTTTGGATTGAGGCACAATACAAGGCAGTCATTCATACTGCACCCACACTTTTGCATACAACTGTACATCATAAACAACAGCCTATTCAATTATAAGGGATAAACAATGACTATTTTTGTTACATAAAACAACATAAATATTATAAGAGGACCCCAGGTGGTACATATTATGCAAGAAAAATGTAGAATATGGGTCTTTTAAGTGATTTTAAAGATTGCTGTTTTACTTCGTAACCAAAGAATTTGTTTAAGATTTGTGTGTGACTACATTGTTGTGACAAAACCATCCTTCCTTTAGCGCGTGGTTACTGTGTGTTTGCAGACGAGCACGCTTCAAGCGCTCCAATAGTGTGACGGCAAGTGTGCAGGCTGATCTGGAGACAGAAGGCTTTGGGGCTCTAAGTGTTCCCACCCAGGACAAGGGCCTGCAGTTCGGCTGCTCCTTCCAGCGCCACTCCTCTGAGCCCGAGTCAGCTGGTCAGCTGGTGGAGTACCGTACCGTCCACACACAGGGCCAGTGGGCCTACCGTGAGGACTACCACAGCGGCTACTCCACTGAGCCCTGCCCACTGGAGCTAAGAGCCCTGCCCCACTCCCACTCACCCCTGCCCCTGGCCTCTGAGCGGGGTGGGCCAGGCTGGCACGAGGGTCCCCGCAGCCTGCCAGACTCAGGCCGAGCCTCACCCTGCCTCCGGGATGGGGAGTTCTTCCTTCGATTGCTGCAGACTGAGGTGGAGAGGATGGAGGGCTGGTGCCAGAACATGGAGAGAGAGGCGGAGGAGAATGAGTTGCCAGATGAGGGTGAGTTATAGCCTTTGCATGTTTCCAATTTCCTTTCGAGAATTAATCTGCACATGAAAATATCGACACACTGAAAAAAGTGATGAAGTGAATTGACTTGATTCACGTGTGTTCGTCATTTCCACATGAATAAAATCTATTCCATCAGCACAATTATTACCAAAAGTGTGAACTGAAAGAAAAAATTGCATTGAAGTGGAAATGATATACAGAATTGAATGAAGTATATTCAGTACATCACTTTTCTCAGTGTGCCAGGTGGTTTCTTTAATACTTCAGTAATCTGAATATGTATCTTTTTATAAATGTGCATTTGATGGTAAAAAAGTGGAAATAGTGGGAAAAAAGGACATTTTTCCTTCCGCCCTCTCATGCTCGTCATTTCCTCCTGCTATTCCTCGTGCACATACAGACACATTAACTCAAACAAGATGGAATGAATGTCCATTTACTTGATGTCTCTGTAGAAATTACAAGGATTTCAGAATCGTTATTGGTATCAGGATCCTCAACTTGGTATTGATCAGTTTGAGCTTATAACACACACAAAGCTTGCATAATCTATGAATAAAAAAAAATCATGCAGTGAAAATTCCAAATGAAAATGCACTTCCCTGTAAAAATGTTTAACTGTGACAGTAAATAGCCAAATTTGATTGCTGTGCTTTTTCAAACATCTACAAAAAGGCTGATCAAATAAAAAACAGCTCATACTCACATGGTTTTTAGATAAAAAGGGTTGCCAACAGTGTTTGTCTCAATTTGTACAATAAAATCCCCTAAAACTATAAAAAAGGGTGAATTGAAAGACACAATTTTGCAGTGAATTGCTGAAGAAATTGCCAACCCAAATAGTGAACCTCTTATCTGTGACTGTCCATAGACCATACATCTTTCTGCTTTTCAAAATCAGGTCGTGCAATTGCAATGCTTTCTGTTCATCTGCATTTGCAAAATTAAGGCAATTGCAAACACCTTTACCCTGGAAGAACTATCACTCTCCATTTTGCAAGGATTTAAATGTTTTTTTGATCTTTTGAAAGAAGGTTTCTGTTTTTCCAAATTTGTATATCAGTCGCATGTTTTTCATAATCTGTTAAATCATTTTGCATTCTTTTTAGAGGGGAGAGAGGGAGGGACAGTGGGGGATATCCAAACAGGCTGTGAAGGTGTTGACACTGCCATGCTATCATACTGTCACTGTTTCTTACTGACTTGTCATGTTTCCAGCATTTAGTTTAATGAGGGACTGCAGTTAGAGGCATATGTACATTTAGCTTATGTTTACGTTACAATTCAACCCTGTAATGTAATCATAGCCTTAGTTTTTAACCTTTATTTAAAAGCAGTCCTAATCTAAGCCAGCGAGGGCCACGTTGTGAGCTTTTCTCTGCTGCCCTGCAGTGCTGGAGCTGATCAGAGCAGCGGTGGGCAGTGCACAGATGCTCATGTCCCAGAAGGTGCAGCAGTTCTTCCGCATGTGCCAGCAGAGCGTGGTAAGCAGCAGGCCTCTCCTCTCTCACGCCAGCCCAGCTCCCCTCACCCGGGAGCCGCTGATGAATTTCATTACAATTTCGTTATAATTTGGTTGCAATGTGTGGAGTGCTAAAAATCTGGGGCAGTCAGTTGATTTTACCTCATGCTGCCCCTCAGGACCCCTCAGCGTACCCCCAGCCCACCACTCAGGACCTGGCCAGCTTCTGGGAGCTGCTGCAGCTGGCCATTGAGGACGTGCGGGTGAAGTTCCAGGACCTGCAGCGGATAAAGGACTCAGGCTGGAGGCTGCCTCCGGAGAAGAAGGTGAGAGGGCAGGCCCGTTCAGAGCTGCTATGTGGCCAGGCCAACCGCACCGGCTGACCAGCAGTGTGCAGAAGAGCTGCTAACATGATGGACCACCATGACCCACAACTTAGTGCAACAACAAAACTACAGTGGGAACTGTGTAATAGGCAACTGCTGAGTCATTGCCCAATAAATTACCATTCTATTCATTATAACATATTAAACCCATAGTACTACTACTACTACTACTGCTACTACTGTTTAATCCAGGGGTACACAACTCCAGTCCTGGAAAGGCTCAGCCCAGCAGGGTTTGTTGAATTCCCTGTTCAAACCCACCGATTCACTTCATCTGATAAGTACCAGGTCTAATAGGTGTGTTAAGCACCATTTGAGTTGGATTAGATTTAGTTCTAGGATAGTTCAAGTACAGGATAAAATCGTTTCCTCAAACACTCAATAACAATAACAACATGACACATGGTACGTTAACAAGTTATGTCATTACATTAAAGTGAGGTCAGTTCAAACAGGACTAATATTAAGGGAGCTCCAGGTTCAGCCAATGGGGTCAGGTCATTCACTCTGGAATTAGCTTGAATCAGCTAGGGATAGGCACCGGGCACCATGTAGCCCCCCATGACTTTTGGGTCCAATCAGGAGTTGAGTACCCCTTATCTAACCTGTGAGCAAATAACTAATTTGTGTTCTCTCTCTCTTTTCCATCGATCACTTTATGTCCTATCTTAAACATTTAATCCACCTGCATTGTAACGGCACTGTCCGTCTTCTTTTTCCCATACTTACACTTTCATGGCTTTCCCTTGCTTGCATGTGTGTGTGCACATATCCGGCATCCTATATCCCACGCTTCCAAAACCATCACTGCCCCGATCACCCATTCCCTCCCACGTTCGTCTCAGGAGGAGAAGAAGCTTCCTCCTCCATTACCAAAGAAGCCAGCAGGTGGTGTGAGTGGGAGTCTGCGGGCAGAAAGCTTGGCTGAGGCAGGGGGCAGCAGTGGTATGCTGGTGGTCTCCCATGGGCAAGGTGTTCCCATTCGGGATAAATCCTTGGACCTGACCGAGCGTCAGAGGCAGGAGGCCAGGCGGAGGCTTCTTCAGGCAGGCCCCAAGCGAGCCGCCTCTTTCCGGCAGAACTCGGCCACGGAAAGCGCGGACAGCATCGAAATCTACATCCCCGAAGCGCAGACCAGATTATGAGCTGGCCCTGGTCACTTTTGTCCATCAAATAACCATAGCAAGTCCCCGCTGGCCGCCTGCACACACACTCCACACTCACGAGCGGCCTGGGAGAAGGATTATGGCAGCATAACTCGCTCATGAAGTGTGTTTAAAAGCAAGATGGAAGATAGATGTGAGCTCACTCACTTGTTTGTGTTGAACCAGTGTTAATCCTCACAGGAAATAAAAAAGGGCTCCCACCAGCACAACCAAGTGGTATGAGACTGAGGGGTTTGCTTTCAAAAACGCGTGTATAATATCCCAAAACCTTAGAACTCTTTCAATAAATTGCCTGCGCAAATACGGGTGCAAAATCTTCTTGGTGAGAGGAGCTTAGATTTTAGTTACAAATAGCAGACACTTTTTTGATATAGTCTTGTATGTTACTGTGCATCTAGTTTTTTTCTTAGTCTTGTGCTAGTAGTTCCTCTCACTGTGAAACAGCAGCACACTCTAGTGGCCAGGGCAGGTAAGTGCACCCCTAAAACTCAGGCCAGACAACATAAATATTGATTTCGTCCCAGACTCTGAACCACAAAAGCAGCATAATTCAGTACCTGTTTTCCATTTTCTGGCTAATAATCAGTGCCCAGCAGTGATGTGCTTTTGGGCTTGTCCTACTAATCGTGGAAGATATAACAGATTTTCTCAATGTGGGCAGAGATAAAAGATTCTAAAGCTGTCAAGAAGCAAGTTGTCCTGAGGTTTGGACCAAGTAGTTCTGCTACCACAGCCGTACAAGGGCGCAGAAGACAATCCCCAATGTTACATGTCTGTCCTGCTTGGGAAAGAAGAGCCCTTAGTCCACTGATCCACCATAATGTTTGTAAATGGCAGAAAACTGTGAAATCCTCTAGAGGAAAGTTAGTTTTGCCCTTGGCCAAAAAATTCTAGCATTTCATCATTGCACTGCCAAAATTGTATCTTGTCAAGTAAAATTATCTTAAATATAGTTGATAAATCTAATATTTCCTGTTTAGATTGTTGTAAGCATAATTTGAGATTATTTACCTTATTTCTAGACATTGTTTACTTGTTTTAGGTTGTTTTAGTAAGAAAGTAAAATTATCTCACCAAATTATCTCAAATAATTTTGCTTGTTGTAAGAAAAGTGCTTGAAACTAGCAAAATTATCTGCCAGTATAGTGAGATAAATTTACTTACTAAAATAACCTAAAACAAGTAAAAAATGTCTAGAAATAAACTAGATAATCTTATAAGTGCACAACCATCTCAAAATAGGCAATATTAAATATTTTTGACTACATTTAAGACCATTTCACTTGACAAGATACCATTTTTTTGCAGTGTGGAATGGAGTGATGATTCAAATGTAGCCATTTGGAACATTTTCAAGTCACACGAATATAAAAGAAACAAGAAAAAATTAAAACATTTTAAAATGTTTTTGGAAGGGTTTTGTTCCAAAATGCATTACAGACAACTATCAAGAATGTTCATCACTTTCATGATATACATTGATGGGAGTGGGCTACGCACGTACAAGAATATCAATGCTAGTATGATTAATACCACCTTTATTAGACAAACAAAAACGTTATCCATTATACCTCAGCTGTTATTCTCGTCAAAAACCTGCTATATGCAAAATACATATGGGTATACAGCATTTTGGAATGGAACTCTTCACTATTGCTTTGTTTTTATACAGTATTTTCTTTGTATTTATAGATATGTTCATTTGTATTTATTATTTATTTATTTATTTATGTCCCCTTGCGCCAACATAAGTGTGCTCTGATGTTTCTCTCTGTATGCGTGATATGGTGGGTAACCAACAGGAGTTTTTGGTTTGTGTGCGTTCAGATGTGGAATTATATAATGCGAGGTAATGGCTTGCCTTTTATAACACTGGTGCCAAAACCTTTGCTCTTACTTCTCCTGTTCCCATTTGTTACATTTTCTTTTCCAACTGTGGAAGGATATGAAAAGTATTTTATAGGAAGATGTATATTTTATAAAGGACATTTTTAGATTCCAATATGAAAATCCCAGAGAATACCCAATCAAAAGTGAAGTATTAATCAATACACTGTAAGCGAACATAAGGGGAGGAGATGGGTAGCTCTGTGGTCTCGCATATCTTTATGTAGCTTTCCTGTTGTTTAGTTCGAATAGAACCCTCTGGAGCCTTTTCGTCTCGCTCTAAACCTCAACCCTGACAGGACGGGCTTATGGTGTGGAGTTTTAATGAAATAATACGGTCAGGAGACACTTATAGTCCTCGTCCTCTTGTATCGACTACATGTGCCTAACCAGCACTACGCGTGGCTTTTTAAACTGACTACAATATTGTATTCAATATAAAGTATGTTACTCACATGGAATATGTATTGTTCTAATAATCCTGGCAATTTGTAACACTTTATTGGATACTTTCATCGCTAATAACCACCCTAATCTGGATGTTTCTGTGGAATATGCATGCCTTTAATACATCCATGTAGAACTCTTTCTATTCTATCTCAACCTGTGGATCTGTATGCTTTTTTTCCCCACTCAGTTCTGCAGTCGCTCTCTATCACATCAACCACTGTTTTACTGTTTTCTCATGAAATGATTTGATCTCATCTATCTGCTAATGGCTGCAGCTATTTCTGTGCAATGTGTTGCATTTTTATTCTTTTACACGTGCTGAAACTTTTTGTCCGATCCATGGATCAGCTGTTTTCTCTTCAATTCACATTTGAACTAAAAAAACGAATTTTTAACCAACCCACTCCTATATACTGTCTTCTTTGCATCTAAATTACATATATAATTAGTAACTGTCTGAAATACATCTAATATCTGGCACGGCGTGTCAGAAGATTGAAAAGCACAACTGACTATTCCCTTTTCCACTGTGAAGGACATACTGGACTCCAAAAAAAGAAGAAAAAGGGGGAAAATATTAATGATTTAAATGTTTACGAAAAGAACATTCTGGGTATTTCCTTCTTCTCTCAGATTTCGCAGGATACATATTGATGTTGTCCACTTTTTGGCCTGAGTCTGAGTTTTTCAAGGGCCATCTGCATTTTTAGATGGACTGTTCGGATGACACAAGAAGCTGCCCCACACGACTCCACTGAACAAAAAGTGGACCTCACTGCGTTTTGACCTCTGCTACAGACAAGCTGGAGAACTGGATCTTCTCTTCAAGCAAAAACATACACACTGCTATTCTCTGTACCTCTTTGCCTCAGCCTCCCTCACTAAAACATGACCCAGGCACTTTGCCATACACGGTCAGGGTACATGGAACAATAAGATGAAAATCCTGGCACTCCTTTTTCTCACAGTGCCACATGCCTTGAGTCAACAAAACCCATCGCAAACTCACATCTCTGTTGGTATTCTAATAGCCTTCGCTGAAGAAATTGAGTTTATAGTGCAAAAATAGGATGTAGCCGGTGCACTTGCCGCATAACAAATACAAACAAACAAAAGCAGAATTAGCTAGTGTGGGTGATACTTCTGTCCTGGTAGCACAGAGGAGCTTGTAGCAGCGTGTGTTCAAGGCACTGTGATGTTGTGTTTATTCGCGCCATAATAAATCACTGCAGTACTTAAAATCACTGGAAATTAACATGGGTCACAGACTTCTGAGCAATTACTGTGTAATTAAATATACCTTCTCAAGCTCCGTTTTATGATGTAAATATATCTGTTGCAATGGAAGTTATTGTTACTAATATTATATGGATTGTTATCATGACTATTATTACTACTATTATCACATTATACTGAGAAACTGTTCTTTAACTTCTAACTATGGGAAATCTGTATTCTCAAAAGGTGTGTTTATAATGTATAGAGAACTACCCTATTTAGATGACTTTTTTTATTGCTGCTAAAGTAGAACATGGACTGGGGAAAAAACGTTTGAACATTTTAGCAAATGCTAGCCCAGGACGGCCCCTGTGGCTGCTGCATGCAAGATTATGGATGAGATCGTAACTGGAGTCAGTTTGTTCATAGCTCTTGGATAATTCTTTATAGGCATACAGACATGATATGAAGTAATGGTTTGTTTTTCATTTTTTGGTCTTTTCCACTCTGAAGGAAAACGTGGGCATTCTGTAAATGTAGCAATTTTGTTCCTCCTCCACTCATTAACAGGTTTATTTAAGAATTAGTCCACTAAATAAAAGCACTGTATTTTGCTTAACTGATTATTATTTACTACATTTGTAGTTTTTTTTTTTTCATTATTTGAAGTGTAATACAGTGCAAATATATATATATGTCTGTTTAATTTTATACTTTTTACTTCATGCCTCTTTTTACTGGCCAGATCAAACAGCAATAGCTTCATACTTCAACTTATTGATGACTATATGGAATACGAAATACCCGCTCAAGTTTGTTACAAGAAAGGGTTGCAGCTGACCACTGAGGACGTGCGACAGCTAGAGTACATGGGTCATGTGTTTTAGTTTCAGTTAGTCATTGTTCTCTTGCCATAGACGTGTACAGCTAAATGTCTGCTAGCGCTAATTCAAGAGAGAAGGCACACTGTGATGTGGTAAAACTAACACAGAATGTAACACTGTCGATGGTTGTAAACATTTTTTTAAAAAGTTATTATAAAGCTATTTTAGCGAGTTAAATCACTGTTGTCCGGTTGGTTTTCTGTGTGTCTGTTTTATTACTTCACAATAGCAAATAGCTGCCATAGCTGTGGGTCATTTGCTTGAAAAAACGCACAATACAAACACCAAGTCAAAATGAAAATTACTAATAGGCTAAAAAAATAAGACTCTTGCTTGTACTAAAAGGAAATAAAAACTTTAATTTATCAGTTACCGATACAAAGTTGGGGAAAAAAAAAAAAAAAACACACACACACATTAGAAAATGATGGGGGACTTTACACTCCTCCTCTGTTTAAACAGAAGCCACTGGTTGAAGTGATGTACAGCAGAAAGATGGTTCACGCAGCTGGTGACTTTTGGTCCGTATTGTTGTGTTTGCTGCCTGAGGCTACATTCACAGAAGAGGAGAGGATGTCGGGGCTTACGGAGACATGGATTCAGTGGAAAATGCTAGAAGAAGAGAAAATGACAGTGAGAAATGCAACACTAAACCTTTTAGTCAAGAGCCACTAAAAGTTAAACTACAAAAAGAAAAGCTTTCTTGCCCAACTTTGGCATGTAAAAATGGCAGATTTCCTACCTGGCAGAAGTCTGACTTAGTTCACTCTTGTGTCTCCATGCTTTCGTCTTCTCCCTCTCCTCCCTCTTCCAATGCTTCATCCTCCTCTTCCTTGCGCTCTGGTGGCTTCTCATAGGCTTTCTCAGATGGAGTGACTATCACCCCATCCCAAGTGGACATCTCACAGGCTAGATCTGCACACAATCATGAGAAGCCCTCATAAGCCATTTCGTAACCAGGGAAGAAAAAAAAAGGAAAAGGGGATGAATACAGAACAGCAATGAATTTTAGTTTTAAATAGAGAACTCACAGCTTGCATCTCCCTCAAGGCCCAAGATCTTCCTGTAGCCACCATGAGAAAGGACCCTTACCAGTGTTTGGGCAGTAAAACACACCATGTCCTGCAGAAACATAATCAGATCACCCACATCTAAGTGTTAAAACTGTTTTCCCACTGCTGTCATAGTACCTTATATCTTGGAATTGGTAGTTTTACAGAATAAATGAAAAAGCCAAAGTGAATGTGTTAATGCAACAAGATTTTATTCCAAGTAATTTGGGAACGTTTGACATGAAATGTTCACATAATGTAATGAGCTGCTGTTATCAATATATCTGCTACTTTTTTCCTAAAGCTGTAAATGCTGGCACATTACCTGCTGCTCTAAGGTCATTACAGTGTGCACACGGAAGTTTCCGCTCTCACATGGGTCAGTGATCCCTACAGACCCTGGCAGAAAAAGTCCAGCTGCTAGCAACTGCAGACAGCGCCTATATGACATACACACAAATGAATATAGAGCATTTAAGTAACAAGTAGACAAACCGCTTATTGACAAAATAAATAAAAGGAAAAGCGAGGACTGTTATCTTACCTGTAGGCAACGTTAAGCGGAAGCGGCTGCCTGGAGGGGTTATTCATGACAGCTGAGTGTCCCTATAAAAAACAGTCACAGTAAACTGAGTCACAGGCTAGTACCTACGCAGACAACAGACTAATCTGACTTGAACAGAATTCTTTCATCTTCACCCAACCAGGATCTCTAAAGAAAGCTACGGGCAACAGATCACAGTTGGTATGTGGCTGAGCTCAAATTTAATTCAAAGTGATTTTCTTCTGTATGGACTTCAAGGAAAAGAACAGTATTTATCAGTTGTAAGGAAAGAATCTGACTGCCTTTCAGCTTTAGTGCCATGACTCACCAGGAGATCCAAAATCCAGGGTGTAAGAGGCTCAAAGCCAGGAAAACGCACCCGCAGGTCCTTCAACAACCTGATCAGAACCTTCACCCTAAGCAACACACACCACACTTTGATTTACAGAAACATACTGATGACATTTTCAAGCTGAAACACCAAAGCATGTCAACACTTGTAAGACAAGATCAAAGACTAGACAGGATCAATATTTCTAACGAAGTTACTAGAAGAAAAAAAAGAATGAATAGCTAGGTTTGAACAGACATGGGAGCAAGAAGGACAAAGGGATTTTGATATTTGAATGAATCAGGTTTTGAGGAGAGAAAAGATAAGCATTTATGAAGGTGGAGAGTTCTTACGTTGACTGAGAGGCGTTCTCCTCAAACCAGCGAGCATGGCGAATAGCAGCCAGAGCACTCTGCAGCACCTTGATGTCAACTTGAGAGAAAAAGACATTGCCCAGGTCAAACGCATATCACCATAACAATAAAACAAGCCGTAACACATAGATTGAGGGCTTACGGTGGAGTTCTGGGTCAAGCTTGCGCAGATTGGGAGGAACGGTAGTGATGAGAATCTTTACTGTAGCATCAGCAGAGCTGATCTCAAAGCCTGTCTCGTTGGTCAGCATAGACAGAACTGAAACAGAGACAAAAAAATTAAACACCGCACCCCGAATAATAAAACATATTCCCTACATGGTAGCACTAATGTCTCTAAACGGTTCTAAGGCATATCAATGATCATGTACTCACCCTCAGCCGGGTCCTGTGTGCGAAGTGTCTCCACCACTTTGTTTCCTAATGCTGCAACTGCCTCCACTGCATCAAACAAGAAAGATATTAAATTTACATGTACTTAATTTCAATTTAATAAGCTCAAGGCACAAGACAAAAACAGACATTTTCTACTAGAGAGAACGCATAAAGGAAAAAGGAACTACTTACGAGTGGGAAGAATCTTCAGGATAACCACAAGATCAGCTACGTTGTGGCCTGTCATCATCGTACCCTTTTTGTACGAGCCCACTTGCCGCACCTCCTCGATTTGCTATGGAGGGATTGTCACATTGAATATTAGCAATATTAGCAAACCACTGTTAGAATCAATAGTGAATTGAAACATACATGTCACTCACCACTTCAAAGTTTCCAGGAGCCACAATCAAATTATCAATGACGTTGTTGATCTTGGTTACCAAAGACAAAATGGAAGACTGAAAAACAAACGGAAGAAAAAAATATCAGTATGGATCAACATTTAGCCAGAATGGGCTACCCCTGTAATCTCTCCTTTATGTGTGCACTAACAAAAGCTAAGCCAAGGCAAAAATTACTGTTAGGTCTTTGCAGTCTTTCTAAGAGTAATCAATGTCTATTTCAATTTTACAAACATAAGCTTTAACAATGATATCTGTATTAGCTTACAAGGTATATAACCAATACAGTAAATGATTGGGTGCACAGTTTGAAAAGAAATTTCTGAAAGAAATTTAAGGAATGTCTTCACTCTCCAGGCTGTGACCCATTAACATCAACAACAACAACAACAACAACATTTTCACACAGCTAAAGTTTAAAGGTACCTGCTCTGCGGGTGTAGGACTGAGGTCTTGGTTGCGCTTCAGCAGAGCCTCACTAAATGCAGTCTCATCAGGTGCTGGCTTCACCCGTGGAAAGGCCATCTCACACTGGAACATTGAGAAATGGTTTGTTTCCACAATTAGAGCTATATAATAAGTGATTAAAAAAAAGAACTACAGCATGGTGGCATGCTACTGGAACAGAACGACAAAAAGTGACTTTTAATACTCCGAAACCATAAGGTTTAATACTGAGAGTTATAGCCGTCTGAAATGTTGGTGAACCTAATGTACAGTAAACAGGCCCACAACTGTATCAGCTGACCATTCAAAGCTTGCAATTTTCTCCCCATTATCAAAAGAGGAAAAAAATCTGACCATAAAACTTTGTGACAAGGGTTTCTATAACAAACACTTCAAAACAGCGGCTAGTGGTAATTGTTTACATTATACTTGCCCACCCAAAACCATGTAAGAATCATCTCATGCAAAGGTATGATGAAAGAATTGTGCAATTGAGTCCTTATGGACTTGTATGTACTGTGTACACACGCTACAAATCTTAAACGTGTGTGGTAAGGCTGTAAACAAAGAAGAAAAGCACTTACGACATAAAAGTCAAACGGTATGTGAGGGACGAAGGGCCGGTATCTGAAAGAGAAGAATAAGAATGAGCAACGGAAAGCAGCCAGAACAGAAACAATAACGATCATTTCAAGCTTACAGATTGTCTAGTCTAATATTAACACAAAACCGATGGCTTACCCTTGAACTAAACCTCCACGGGAACCGAAACGGCCACCACGGCCCCTTCCCCGATCGCCTCTGGGGGACAGAGAAAGAAAACTGGGTTACTCCACTAGAGCGACTAAACAAGCGATGCTATTGTTGGTGCCGTAGCATTAGCTACCTGTGTCTAGCTTACGGCTACGCTACTGTGGCTACCAACACAAACAAAAACGAAATAAACAAGGACCAGGGACGAAATCTAATGTTTTGTAATAAGCTGTTCGCTGCAATGCAGAATGTTAATGTTTGCCGGCAGCTGTTTTCGGCTAGCTAGCTCGCTAGCTAACCTAGTTAGCCAAGCATGTAGCTAACCGTGTTTCATTCATTCACAAACAGCACCACAACAACGGTTACAACGACAGTCTTCATTTTTCGCTGGTGTGATATATTTAACCAAACCAGAAAAGATTTAAGTTTTCTCATTTCTATAAAAGTCGCCAGATATCCGACTTACATTTTGGTATTTCGTTAAATATTACACAGAGCTAAATCAGCAGGCCTGATTAGCAAAAGCAAGAATCTAACCGCCATGGAGGAATCGAGACACATCAGCAACGTAGCGTTAAAGCACTCACATTTATCTTCAATACAGGGAGATTATTACAGAAAGGTGGAAAAGTAAACCCTTACCTCATTGCGTAAGACGTTTTGGCAGCTTTACGAAACAAAGAACGGACGAAAAATCTGTCACCGGCAGCCGGTGCGTGTGTGTGTGTGAGGCGTGAGCTGAGCTAAAGCTAAAGAGCAGAGGGGAAGCGGACAAAGGATGAAAAATACACAAAATAAAAGTCTCTAAACGGATACTGTCCGTCACCGTCCTAACATAAAACTTTTTACAAAACTTTTTACCTCAACAAAATATTTTTTAGAAAGAAATTTAAGAATTAAGCCAAAATTAAAAATTACAGTTCATTTAAAGTATTCTAGTATTTTAAAGAAAATGCCACTGAACCTTTTCTGACCGTAGTTTGATAGCTATTTTCTATCTTTTATTTTTGTTTCATGTGTCTCATTTGATTACATGTAATTTGCATCTATTTTTTCTTGTTTTTGTTAAATATCAGTGGTTCCTTGTGACCTAAAAATTAGATTTAATATGATAACTTCAAAATCTGATAAAATGAAGATAAAAACATTTTACCCATATGGTTTGCTCATTTAAAAAGTCACATGTGTGCTCAGGCATATGAAGCAAAAGAAAATTGTAAATTTGTGATGTGGAGATCATTTTTCGAAATTGTTTTATTTTCACTTATAACATTATTACAAAAAGTAGACAGCTCGAACTCAGAAATGTTTTGACCGATTGTTAAAAAACATCACAGGCATTTACCTTTGGGGAGGTGTACAGTGTGCAAATTCTGCTGCTAAATAAATAAATAAACAGCATAAGCAGTTAAATGTTTGTTACTGGTACAAACAAAATAATAAAATAGATATTAAATTTTATTTACTATTTAACTTTCTCTCGATTAGCTTGCTAATCCTCTATATGTTATAAAATCTTTGTTCTTTTGTTTGTTTTAATATTCAACCTATGCTGGATTAACTTGATAATAAATGTAATTAGAGATTCTCGTCCAGTGTTCCATCAAGAAGTGAATAGAGAACTCATCCTGAGACCCTCACCAGAAACTCTCACCTCATTCTCTGTGCCCCCTGCAGCTCCTGGTAAAATCATGTAAAGTAAATCACAGAAAACTGCTTTTAATATCCATAAAATACATCAAATGTAATAACCGTTTTCATCATGACTGACCAGGTATTCTGTATACTTTATTTTAAATGAATTAAGAAAAAAAGAACTTTTGGAAATTTATGATAACTTATTGTCATATTTCAGTGTATATATTCACCTAAAAGAATGAAGCTGGAAAGGTTAAAGGACTCATATTCTACATTTTTCTGTTTTTATTTTTCCCCTGAAGTCTGCTTATAAAGTTTATGTGGGTTTATTTACCACAAACAGTCTTAATTCATTTCCCCATTAACATTTTCCAAATTCTTTTTATCCAATAACATTGGATAAGCTGTTTTATTACTGTGTCTTTAAGGTTGATACATGTAAATGAGGTCTGTTCTGATTGGCTGTCCTATATTGTCCAGGCTGAAACACTCTATTTAACATCAGCATTAATATTTGGAGCTAAACTGCTGTGCAGGCTGAATAGGTGGATATAGCTAAATGACCACGAAAGCAATACATTTAAAATGGGCTGTTTGTGCAAATTACTTTACATTTTTGAACTGTGTGGACAGGAGAGTGAATTGTACATCCTGGAACCTTCACAATGTTTATTTACTACATCAAACTCTTGAAATTTTTGAAAATAGTGAAGAAAGTTCAGTTGTCCATAAATTTGAGCCCTTTAAGGTGCGAGTTGTGAATTATTCTCGTGAAATATTAGCATGCTAATTCTGTAATAGTGCTTTAGTGGGCATTTCCTGTGTCTTTTCTTTGCTTTGGTAGACTAACTGTGTGGAGTACCCCTCATTTGTCAGTGTGCTTTGGTTAGGATTTAACTATATTCTCCATTCATTCATTTATTCATTTGGTCATTTGTTTTTTTCGCACTATTTATTTCTATTTTAAAATATGTTATTTTTATTATTCAATTAACATAACAGATGCATGAAATTATTTTAAAAGGTGATGCATTGTCTTTTATTTCAGTCAACATGAAAATCAATTGATTTTATGTTGTTCCACCTGCTTGTGCTCGTTCATAAGCCTCTCCTTCCCCAAAAACCTCGGCCAGCACATCTCTGTGGACACAAAACAGACAGGTGGCCTACAGCATTTTAAAGTAAATAGCAGTTCATCAAGTCAGTAATTTGCTCCCAATCTATTTGACTTACAAGCCAAATACAACACATTATAAAATGTTCATTAACAAAAAGTATTCTGAACAAAGAAGACGCTTTTGGTTGAAAGTCTGTCATACTATGCAAAGACAATAGATGATGTACTTTTACTGATGCATTTTAAAGTAATTGGCAGCAAAAATGACCACATTGGTTCATGAAGTCAGTAATTTGCAGCCCATCCAATTGACTCATTGAGTCAAATTCTACATTATACACTGTTAATTACTAATAAGCAGTCCAAAGAAGACTTTTTGGTTGTCATACTATGGAAATACCAAAGATGAAATCATTTTCTTTTAGCATTGTAAAGTAATTAGCAGACAAAGTGGTCAGTCTATACAGTGCATATTGAATTCATTGTTTTTGAGATGTCATAAAAAAAGGCCACCTATTCAGCCTACAGCAGTTTAATGCCACCTATTCATGCTTAAGTTATAAGGAGTTTTTCAGCCCAAACTCTACTTTTTGAATGAGACAGAAAACAAGGCAACCAATCAGAACAGAGCTCATTTACATATATCAATCTTAAAGTCACAGTAACAAAAACAGCCTGTTTAAGTGATAATGAGAGGTTGGAAAATGTTTGTGGAAAATGAACTGCATCTTTTTTGCTACATAAACTGACACAACTGTCATAAGTGAACCTCAGGGTTAAAAATAAAACAAAAGAAACATTTTGGAAATGAGCCCTTTAAATGGACATGATTCCACTATGATAAAAGCACATATCGTGTACAAGTATGAAAATAAAAGGCAAAGGTCTGAACCTGAGCCTGCACAGCTAAAATAATAACAAAAAAGTTCACTAAATGAATAAATCATGAAATAAATAAATAATAATAAGCCACACTGAAAGCGGAAAATAAGCAGTAAGATCAGCAGATGGCAGCAGACAGCAGATTTTAAGTCAGTATTCTTCAGAAAGGTCTTCTGGGTAAAAAGCAGTTTTAATATATAGGGGAAATAATCCTCTCGCCAGCATCTAATAGATGTCATTGAACATAGTTTGAGCAATTGTCCTCTAGAGGAGATGGAGAGAATGTAGTACAGTTTAAAAAAAAACATCTAGAAAGTTTTCTAAAACAGGTGAGAGGCTACGGTAAAGACTTAGAGTAGGGAATGTATCATTACTGTGCCATTTGTTATGAATACAGACCTATTAGTGGCACACACACGTGTCCCACACTGTCATCAGACTACAGCATGTGTCCCGACCACCGCACCGCTGCCATGACAACAGCATCCGTCATGACATCAGCACCTCTGTCTGACTCATACTGTGCAGGTCTGTGCAAAAATATGCTGTGCTTTGTGTGTGCCTGCGTGAGAGGGAGTGAGAGATAGAGAGAGAGAGAGAATAGGATTTCACACTGAGACGATTTGATATGAGGGTTCTGTTGCTGTGTGACTGACAGCTGTCCTCGTGCCTTTGAGTGACCAAATAAAAGAGACAGAGACATGTTTGTTGCAGCGATTCAGTAGACATCCACAAGTTTAATCCTCTATGTACCAAAAATAACACATTTGTTTATTGAAGGAGCTTTACGATTACAATATTGAAAAATAAAATGAAAGCAGACATACAGAACACATAGCACATGAACATATTATTAAAAATGTATTGCACAACTGGTCACATTAATTCCCTTTTAGGTTCCGTATGCTGGGATATACATCATGGTAACATAATTTTCTAAGCAGTGTCATCAATGCAGCGGCCATGAGAATCAATTGCAATGTTTAAGACAACTTGAGCAAATCTTGATCCAAATATTATGTTAAAAAATGCCACACATGGTATTATATCTTAACATTTCTGTGAAAATAAAAACACAAATAGCCCATCTTTTGCATTTTAAGGTGACAGCCAAATGGAAGTGGAATCAGCCCTTAAACAGCAGTCATTTGAGTTGACACATGATCATTGGCTGACATGCAGAGAACTTAGTTTTACTTGGAACAGGTGGAAACTTTTCTGAATGCATTTATTTTCCTCCGCTCCTGCAGTTTTTGGCACAACTAATCTCTGAACCGAATTAGAAGAACATATATCAGTTAGCAAGTATTAATATGCTGGAAGCCTAGAGTTCAGACCCTCAGAGATGCAATTAAGTGGTCTCTTGCATTCACCATAATGTACTAAAGTCATACAGAACACAATGTAGAGTGATGCTAGTAGAGTTAAGGTTTAGATTTTCAGCTTTGCTGTGTCTGATGTGTAGTAACGTCATCTTATTGTCATTATTTTGTATTAGCGTAATTGTTTGCTTGAATAGATTACACGCTTAGTAGGTTATGGAAAATGTGAACCTTTAAAAATCCAGCAACTGAACTGAGCAATGAAAAGCAACACAGCTAAGCAATGCATTGTTACACTGCTAGAGAACAGAATGGTTACAGAGCACCAGCACATCAATGCAACGCAAACATAGGATTATAAAATGTAGTACATCCCAGCTATACATACGTAAAGTACAGGTAGCAACCAAAAAATAGATATTAATGCCTGCAACTGCTTCACCAATAAGTATAACAACACGTGATGAACTAACACATAGTGAGACATCAGTGATCCTTAAAGGTGTAGTTTTCGCCTTATCCCAAACACAGTTGACCAGCCAAGATATGTCTGGCGAATGCAGTTTGCCTTTTTTGCTCTACAGTGTTGCTACAAGGCTAATACAACAGAAGTCACCCCAAAAGATTTTGGGTTACAAGATTTTGACTTTCATTCATTTTTAGCTACATTAGCCATGTAGCTCCAGTGCAAAACTACATATGCAGACACCAAACATGTTCTGGCTGATCAACTACATTTGGGATAAGGAGAAATTGTGAAAATTAGGTTTTTCAGTGAACAAATTCTTTAAGTATTATAACCACCTACTTAAAGTAAACACAGGTTAAGCCCAGTCAAAGATTAAAAATCACTATTGACATTTTAAGTCAGTTCAACACTAAATATCTTTTATGTGCAGGAAAACAGTGCAGACTTCTATGGAATGCATAAATCAGCATTTGGGTCATTCTCACAAAACTGCCTCAAAACATGTCCATATTTGAGTGTCATAAGCATCACACAGATGAAGAATGTTCATATCATTTAGTAGGTGAATTGCAGCTCTACATGGTGCAGCAAAAAGTTTGTGGAGTTCATTTTTCTATTTTAAATATTTTTTATTCTCATTTCCGCATGTCCACAAGTGTTTTTCATTACCAGTGTTCATCATTGTTTCGCTTTTTAAATTGGAAAAAAAATAGTTTGTATTATTTTTAACTGTTGAATCACTTTGCTTTATTGACTTGTTTGTAAACTGTAAGGATGTGAACCAAAACATCACCACATTATGTGGCACAGGTAAAAAAAAATAATAATAAAAAAAACTCAATGGCTGTTGCAGTAGTGAGAAGTGCAGAATACTACATTTTGAAAAATATTTATGACTGAATAGTTAGCTTGGTGGTATATAGTATATGGTATATAGGTTGTGAAGAGAAAAGTTATGAAAAAAATATTATTTACAGACTGTCAGATCTTCAAACTGTGTTGCGGTGATGAGAATTTGGTCTCCGGAAATGGAAAATGGCACTTAAAATTGATTTAATATCAAATAAATGGTTCAGGTTTTTGTTTAATTATTACACTACACAACATTGTTTGTATGTCCAAAAAAAAGAAAGAAGTTAACATTAAATTTTAGTCATTTTAATTTTTTCAAGTTCCAGTATTTGTTACATTTGTAAGAATTACCCATTTCTCCACATTGTGCAAGTAAGTTCAAAGTAGATAAGTAATTTTATCATTTGGTACTAAAGGTACAGTTTTTTTTTTTATCCCAGTACATATGGCCATAACCCTCATCATCAGCAAAGGTCTGGTTGAGGTTAGCTGGGTTGCCAAGACTAAACTATTTCACCACTGGGTAGCAGTATAAAACAAGGTGTACTTGCTTCTACCTAGTGCAACAATATTCTCATAAGTATTGGCGGCAACAAATAATATTCTGCTTCCTGGCTTACATCTGTGTTTGTTTTGATTATACCAGAGAGAAATAGCAAAAGGCATTTAGACAATATTAATACAATTACTCTCGGATATTACCTGCTAAGCTTGTACACTGGCAGATGAGAAGGATTATGTCATCAGGACTACAGAGAACTATAGCTTTCATTAGAAAACGAGTGAGAATAGTGCACAGCACACCAGCCGACAACAAACAGCACTTTAATACTCCCAGCACTGGTGTGGATAGCAAGGAACAAAGTCAAAGACCTTTTCCTCACATGCTCATACGCTTGCACACTCACGCAGACACACAGACACACAACACACTCATGTATACACACAATTTTGCACAATTACACACATAAAAATTCTCTCATACACAGTACACTGTTACACTTCACTCTCTTTCACACTTGCAGAGACAGAGCGACATCATATACATACAGTGTAGATGCGGCTGTGTTGTAATATGAAAGCAATTCTAGTGAAACATTTACATTTACATATTATATGTTGGTGTGTATTTTCGTATATCATCATGTACATATATTCGCAGTGTTTAGTCCGGCAAATGCGCCCAATTCTTTGACCTCTATCCTTCCTTCATATGTGAGAGCGACCTGGAATCACAATATTTCAGTCCTGTTTTCTGTTCTCTCAGACCAGCTGATGAAGGCCAGGAATCGTGACAGTATTATACACTGGATAATAGGTTATTATAGCATGTCTCAAATCTACCATTATGACAACACTGCAGTTGCCATTACCTCCTCACTTCATGGAGCATAGTCTCTAATGAAATGTTATCTCTAACAGTTATCTCCATGACATGACACATGATGGATTTCTGTTTAGTGAGGCTTTTTTTATCCACCCCGGTCACAGAAGCATAGTGCCTGTTTGACATTTAGACTCCATAAGGACAAAAAGACAATGACATTTCTTCAAAACCTTGAAAATCTACCGTTATGTCAGTGTTTCCAGGAATATTTTATACGTTTTCATTGTTCATTTGCATTTATTTATTAAAATGCCAGGAATTGGGAGTGTTCTGTGTTAAAACTGCTATCTGTTAATTATTTAGGCTTCTTAATGGATTTTTCTCTTTAGACTTAAGCCTAGAAGCCACAAGAGCATGGTACTGCCTGCCGTACAGCACAGTTCACTAGCTGGGCAGAGATTTGGGAAATGGCTTTCATCACTCTGGTGAGTTCACTTGTACTCTCCTCTCAATGTTAAACCAAACTATTCCTTCTTTTCTTAATTTGTCTCAGTCCCAAACCCCTTTAACTCTCACATTCCTCACAACAGTATGTACATCTTTTTTTATGTGCACTCTCACTAAGGCCACGTTCACAAAGAGATTTTGGGGTCTATCCAAAAAAAAAAAAAAACATTTATTATTTTGTCGTATTGTTCCTACAATGCTATATGTTTATTGTCAATGAAACATAAACCTGTAACACATAAATTAGAATATCCATTAGTGCTTAATTTGATCAAGCAATTTATTGAAGCTAGCTATAGCTCTGTTATCAAGCTAGCTGTGAGTTGTCCTTATAGATCTTTAGAGTTGGATCGTACAGCTCTGAATGTCGGTTCACAGTGATTAGCTTCTTTTTTGTCCTGCTTCACAATGCCGGACGCGTGGTCAAAGTTTCAACTCTGGTGAACTTTTTCAACAGACAACATTATGTGTAATTTTCACATATCACCATGCTTTGGTGCCCACTGTCCATCAATGCATTGTTTTCTTTGAAATCAAATGCAGGTGTGTTTTTGACAGATACCAAAATGTCACTGTGAACGTGGCCTTACTTACTCCTCTCTAAAAGTCTGTACATTTTGTTTCAGCCCCACCCATCCTTCTCTCCTCCCTTACTTCTGCATGTCACACTGCAGTAGGAGGACGATAGAAGGGTCACTCTTGGCTGCCTCTTTGAACTCCTCCAGCGTGATCTCGTCGTTGTGATCTTTGTCCATCTTGCTGAAGATCTTGTCCACACGCTGCTGAGGTGTCAGGCCATCCTCGTTCATCCGCATCATAATCACAGTGCCGACCATTTTATAGATCGCCTGGGAGCAAAGGCGAAGGACAGGTGGCAAGAAGACGAGGGAGGAACGTGTGAAAAGAGTAAAAGCATGAAGAAGCGAAGAGAAAGTAAAATATATATATAATAAAATAACTGTACAGTTTACAGAGCTTCCTTTAACACATGAACAAATGTATGAAAACATGTTAAAACATTTTAAAAACATGCCCAATTCTGTTGCAAATCATAACACAGATGCAGATAACAGTTAGTACTATTATGTTACACACTGGCACACTTTGGCTGTTGAAACGAGGCTTTGAGTTCAGGTCATAAATGTAAAAACTCAGTCAAGAACAAGGAAGAAAAAACTACAATGATGCTAATTTCTGCTAACGCCCATATGGAATTCTAGTAGTATGTCAGCACGAAAACAAAAGACAATTCAAAATTACATTAACAATTTATGGCCATTCTAGATTAAACAAGGACATTATATATTTTACTTGCAGGGTATTTGACAGATATTTAAACACATATTTTACTTTTCACACTTTTACAGTGACTCTTTTAGTAAACAGCCCTTTCACAGAGCTGCTGCTGCTGCTGTTTTCTGTTGCTAACACCTGACTGAAATATATTGGTCAGGCTACCACTCATGCTCACAGTCAGTGACATATCTAGAGTGACATTTTTTTTCCCCAATTTTTCTCAAAAAATTTAAATTGGTCCCACCTATTGTAAATCAAATCATAATTGGCTGATTCAACTGTCACCTCTTATTTATGTTAGTGGTTAATCTGAAATGTTAGGCCTTCAATTCAGCTCCTGAAGTCCTAACCAATGAGAGAGCTAGTCTGGCTCTATCTACCTAGATACCACAGGGAAAAAAATCTAATTGGATATTTTTCTTTTTGGCTATTTCAATAATTTAACCCTTTTGTTTCTCACCAATACTTAACAATGATATAAGAATATTAATATAATAGGTGCAGAGTTTCAACAGAGCAAGCATGATGATTACATTATGTATGTTGACTAAAAATTACAGACATATATTTGTTTTTCACAGAAATCATTACTTCTTCTCTGTAGGCCTAGAAGGCCGTGCTGGTGATACACCACTAGTAGTATGTAAAAATGTTGTACAGTTTCTAAACAAGCATATCCACAACTTTCTTGTTCATGTCATAAATAAATACATCCATACATAAAAAATATTAATAAAGGACTCACCTCTATAATCTCGAGCATCTCCATGCGTGTAATCTTGCCGTCTCCATCCAGGTCATACATGTTAAACGCCCAGTTGAGCTTCTGCTCAAAACTTCCTCTGGAAGTGATGGACAGGGCACAGATGAACTCCCTGAAGTCAATTGTGCCATCGCCATTCTTGTCAAAGGTCCGGAAGGCATGCTGAGCAAATTTGGAGGCATCACCATAGGGAAAGAACTGTAATATAGAACATAATTCACAAGGTGAGTCAGCTTTCATCAGTCTCCTCCCTGCACTGATTAAGTCTTAGCTGGTGTAAAAATGATTCGCCACATACGTCTTCAGACTCTTAACTTGATAGTTTGGAAAGAAACAAATTTATATAGTTCTGCCCTTAGCCCTCCATCAGCCAAGTCCAAAGTTTGCAGTTTTTGTTTTGTCCCTAATATAAGAGGCTAATGTAGCTAACAAGTAATGGAAGTTTATACTCCACCAATTAGCGCTGTGCAAACTGCATTCGAAAGTCATCACATACTCTCACACCAAATCACCTTAGGTTTTTAAGTGATTTCAAAAAGACTTACATATTTGATTTCTAACACTGTATGGCTGCGTACTGTTATCTATAATAATGGACCAAAGTATGATGTATAGCTCAAAATATTAGCAGCCATTTTTAATCTATAATTTTGTCTTTCCCAATAAAGATAAGCATTTGTCATTAAACTGTGCATGTCAAATGTCCACAATACCTGTGCGAATACTGTTCTCACCTTGACGTAGAGCTGCTGGAACTCCTCCAGGTTGAGAATGCCAGTGGGACAGTCCTTCAGGAAGCCCTTATACCACTGCTTCAGCTCTGCCTCATTGAACTCTGTATTCTTAGTCAGGTCATCCAAAACCTCTGGAGCCAGCTTGCTGTTATGTTTCCCCATTTTAATGACCTCTCTATGGACAAAAACAGAGAGGCAGAGACTTTGTAAAGACAAGATTTTTATTCCTCAAAGGAATTCTAAAGTTACAGCAACAGCAATCGATTAAAAAAAAAAAGCTTCCAAGGTGTCATGTAATTCCAGACATCAGCCAGTTCTGGATCATCCAATGTCTATGAAAAATGTGAATAAAAGGTCAGGAAGGTCTTCTAAAAGAGGGTTTACTGATATTGACCTTGATCCAAAATGGTAAGAGAAAAAAAAATGTTCTTAGTTTTGATGCATGTTAATATATCAAGAGTAAATAAAGTAATAACCACTGGCATTTTTGAATGGCCTAAAAAAATAATACATGTTGCTAGTTGCAAGATTTTGCAAGATCCAGTCTTTCCTGTTGGTTAGAAACTACATGAAAAGTGTAATTTGTCTAGGCGACTTTGTAATGACATCATGCCTTATATCATGGCATATAACATGTCTGCCTGTATGAGAGCCAGAGATATATTTGGTAGCCCTAAATTGCACTGAGCTTAAAAAATGGGTATTTGGGTGCACATGAAAAATGAGGTGCTGTTCTAATGAGTCATTACCTGGACTCTCAGCTTATTAAAGTTGATTAAATATTTAACAGGTCTAAATACTTGACGAGGTGCTCTAATGGCTGAATGCTCCAGCGGTTATGCAGCACAGCTCATCACAGGCCTGCTCTGGAGCCCAGACGCCCACAGCGCTTTTCTCTCCTCCTGACAGGAGGCCATTTAGGTGTGATCACGATGACTAATCAGAGGTGAGCATTCATCTCCCTCCTCCTTCTCTCGCCTTCTCTCGCTCTATTCCACTCCCTCTCTCTTTGACCTTTTTTGGAATTCTCAGCGCTCTGTTACTCTCTGCTCCTTTAGGCTTCGCTCTGATTGGCCTACTTCAGACAGCAAGGGCTAATTGAAGATCTGAGCAGTTAATAAACTTTGAAGCTAATGGAATGAGCTTCATGATGCTCTTTAGGCAATGAAGTAATTCACTTTCATTTTCAATAACTTTCAGTGGAAGAACTGGTCACATGTTGACAGTACTCTTTGTTGCTATTTAACCTTTAAGGCTAACGGGTGACTGCTCAATGGAGAAGCACAGAATTTGTCAATTGTTACACTTACATCAATTTACTTAAAGGATCACATACAAAATAAAATGAATAGTGTTCAAAAGTCTGAGGACACTTTTGTTCATTTGCAGGCAAAACTATGAGAACACAACTCAATGCTATGGGTCTGAAAGGATGTGTAGCTGTGTAATAAAGCCATACTGAAAAAAGAACAAAACAATTACACAAGAAACTGGACAACTGAGACGTAGAGTAAGGTTTTACGGACTGATGAGTCTAAATTTGTAATTGGGAGTGTTTGATTCATGAGAAGCAGAAAATGCAACCAACTTTGGAGGTGTGGAAAAATATCCCTGCAGATTTCTTTAAAACAAATGAAAGCAAGTCTTCCAAAAATAAAGGCAAACTGCAGTAAAGGAAAAGGGTGGGCACGCTAAATACTGAAAAAATACTGTATTTAGTTGTGGAAGTTTTTGTGCAATTTTCTGTTGAATATATGTTTTATGCTTTTTTCCAGATGCTGAAAATAAATGAGTTGTATTTAATGGCCATTCTGACCAGAAATTAAATATATTAAAACAGTGGCTCCCAACCCTGGTCCTCGAGGACCCCCTGCCCTGCACATTTTATTGTTTTCCCGGCTACCAACGCACCTGATCCAATTAATCAGCTAATTAGCAAGCCCTCCCAGAGTTGAAGTGGGTGTGTTTTTGTAGGAAAACACAAAAATGTGCAGGGCAGGTGGTCCTCCAGGACCAGGTTGGGAAGCTCTGAATTTAAGCAGGGTCTCTGTCTTTTAGGCAGTACTGCATGCAAAGTTAATTTGTTCATGAAGATTGATTTGCTGTATGTATTTCTGCAGGGGTTGTTATTACAAAACTAGATACATTTGGTAAATTATTTGTATGTTTTTGTTGTTTGAATTAACCAAAAAGGCAATTAAAGGCATGACAGCCTGGCAGTGGGTGAGTTCTGAGGCTTATGGATTATCAGCATTAGCGGTCACCAACCCTGGTCCTGGAGATCTACTTTCCTGTTGAATCTGAAGTCGACCCCGTTGAAGTTATTTACAAGTCTCTGATTGGCTGGATCAGATGCTTTAGTGTTAGGTAAGGCAGGAGCAGAATATTAGATGCAGGTTGGAACTAAACCCTGCAGGAAGTAGATCTCCAGGAGGAGGGTTGATGGCCAGTAGCCCAAAACTTATTTGGTGCTACCTAAAGCCAGAGGTGGGTCAGAACTACTCAGATAGATGTACTCAAGTACAATTTTGATGGATTTGTACTTGCCTGAGTTTTTTAATGATAATATTTTTATATTAAAGTATGCTTGGAAGAAATGGACTCCTTTTTAATGTTATATTTTAGACATTAACGTTTACATAGTCCTTTTTGTGGGTAACCATCATATTACGTTGGTGATGTATCTACACTGCTTTGCAACTGGTCACAATGAGTTTTATCATTTAATTTTAGAGCAAGAATGTCAACTAGAGAATGAACAGCACCAAACAAACTTTAGTTCCTATGCTGACAGATCCTGAGTGTTCCACTGTAGTTCTATTGATTTCTTTTGCTTGATTCATTATTTCACTAAACAACACAAGTAGCAATACTTCTTTTTGAGTAAAGATTTAGGCTACTCTACCCACCTCTGGCTTAAAGCTGAATCAAATGTAGGGATCCCCACATGCAGCTTTCTAAAATAATGTGAAAATATTTGCTCCTGACTCATTTGTAAGATTTTAGCACATTTTATGACACAAAATGAATCTACTGTTTTTGTACATGTGAAAACTAAAATAAATCACTAAAAATGATATGCAGCACCCAATACCCCACTGATTAATAACAGGTTGTACCACTTTTAACATCTGCCATAACAGACAGACACTTCTTGTAGCTGTTCATCACTCACACTCTGTTCTGAATGAATGATGGGTCACTCCACCATGCATTTTCTCTGTGATTAGCTGCTCATAAAACAATTTCTGAATGAAATCTATATATATATATTAATGTGCACGTTTTATTACCTTACACAAATATACTTGGACACAAAACTCAGAAAAACAGACAGATTTTCTAGTCAGCGTCAAAATAAATATCATGTTTTACAGACTGCACTCCTGCTAGCCAACACCCCACATAGGAGATTTTGCACATGTTCACACACTCTCAGAAGGATATTAAACTGTACTTTTTGGGGTGCAAACTCTGTCATGGGGGTGGTACCGTCAAGAATGCATATTCAGTACCTTTTGCTAGTGAACTTGAAACACAGTCTGCTGCAATTGGCAATTCTAATTATGGCAGACATATACACGTAGGATGTTCTAAGACAAAAAAGTCCCAAAGAAAACCTTTTTTTATTCATCACTATTGTACCATCATCATTACATATAAAACCTCAGAGGTGTACTGGTCATTTTCGGTCAATAAAATGGCTATATATGCATTGTAGACATCACAACTCCTGGTTCCTATTACCACCTCCTGTAAAGGAATCAATCAGTAGGTTTCTCCACAATGTATGATTTTACATTAAAACACTCTGAATGACTGTTTAGATCTCAATGACTGAATTATGCAGAAAAATCAGTGAAATCCCCATTACTTATGCGCTACTAGAGGTGGGTGATATGGCAAAAATATCATATCACAATACAAGATATGTATCACATTTTGAAACAGAACCAATACACTAGCAGTGCACTAAAACCAAAAAAACAGGACTAAATATGTTCTCTTTTCAATTAAATATGCAGTTGCTCTGTTCTTTAAGTACTGACGAAATCCACAATATACTCAGAAAAGCATATTGTGCATCACAATAATAGAATTTATCACAATGACGACAAAATATCGTCATACTGTCCCCCTCTGTGCACTAAACTATTATTATTAAACCTCCACATGATGTAAAGGTTCTAGACCAATTAAACGTTTTTCTTAGAACTATATATCAAAGTCAAGAACTATTTAGGAAACATTTAGCAGAGTGTCTACAACGTTCATTACTCTCGGTCATAGTGAAGGTTCTTCTGGACACTTCAATGTTTTTGAAAAACATGGTTGTTAGTATCGGGTCTTGTCTAGATCAGAAATTGCTCCATGATCTCTTCTTATCTCAAGCGCTGATAATGATATTGAGTCAATGTTAATTTTGGCTGAGACACAACCTTCACCAGCACTGAAGCTGACTAGGATATTACCATAAACACCTCAGGAGAAAAGGAATTGTTTGTGTACAAGCTTTTCACGTTTTGAATACAAAGCTCAAGACAGAAATAGGCATTTAACAGCTAGGATCACCTTGATTCTACTCCTTAGGGTGGAGAGTGTCTGAGCGTGTCGCTCTCAGTTATCAAGATGAAATTTAACATGGATGGATATTATCTTTCTAGAATCCAGTACCTTTTTATTAGCTTTTTTATGACGTAAATCTGATTTTGGATGAATTATTGGTTCGAAAATGAGTGACTTTGTGCTGTAATAAAAAGAGCTGTAAATTAATCTTATTGTATTAAATAATAAGAAGTAATTGTCTCTCTGAATTACATTAAATAGTGAGTATATGATATGGGCTTGCTTCTTCTTCTTCTTTTTCTTCTTCAGTCTCTTTCCCTTTTACTTTATAGCCCCAGTATTCAATTAGGGACACCTATCTGGACCGCTAGCAGGCCTGAACTTCTCAGTGTGGAGTCTGAAACTGCATTTCATGCTCTACCTGCTCATGAATTTTCCAAGTGTGAGGTGAGATACTGCTGTGCAATTTTTGACTGCACATTACCCTGTGAGGCCACCCAAGACATGCTGAGACCAATGAGTAATGAAGGAGACAAGACTAATGATGACCTACTCAACCCAGTCTCATGACAAATTTGTAGATATTATAAGCAAGAGCAGGGTCAATTT